CACACAAAATTTTCAACTACTCTATTTTTTTTTTTTTCTCCACATAGGACACTTTCAAGTGGTAAAGGAATTCACAAGGTAAGGTATAGTGGAATTTTCTTACTATTTTGCTGGACATAGATAACTCACCCTAGATAGGTAATTATTTGGAAGAATATTTTGAAGTAAAAATAGCAGCTGCTTTTGTTATTAAGTTTTAAAAACCCATTACATTTTCTAAATTACCAGCTGAGATATAACACCCCGGAGATGTTTTTTAGGAAATTGTAAAATATAATCGTGTTAACTCAAAAACTGCCAAATGTATTTGCCTTATTTCTCTGAATTAACCTGCTTTTAAAAGAAATAAGAGCTATCATAAAATTTAAAAGAAATTACCAAAAGGAAATGTAGAATTAAAATTATTAATCTCGGCATCTAAGTGAAAGAAAAACTGCTAATGAGAGCTTGGATGTTATATATTTTAATCATAGAAATGAAAAGTCAACCAACTCACAGCAAAAGATTATATTGTTTGTGATGCTTAAGCTCTTATTTTCAGAACTGTGAGGGTGTTTCCTGACTTCAGTTCTCACCGCATCTGAGACAATAGGTGAGAAATGAGAAAAGGGAGTGACAGGAGAGAGTGACACACACAGAGACCAAAAGAAGTGTGCTAGAGAGTAGGCCAGCATGGGAGAACAACCAGTATTTCCTCCCAGGGCATTAAAATCAGTGAGATAAGATCAATAGACATCATTTATGCCGTATAACGATCTGCAAATGGAATACTTTATGATGGGAAAAAACGAGCTTTGTCAGAGACTCAGGACAGAGGCACAGGAGAAGAACCGGGTCAGAGCCTCCTTTGGGTTTTCACAATGTTTTCTGAGTAGAGCTTTTAAACTGATCCATTCGCCTTGACCTGTATTCTTCAGAGATGCTAAATATCACATCAGAAGCCTCACCTAGGGCTTCTGCAATCTACAAGTCTATGATCCCTGGTGGAGCCTGGCTGGGTGGCTAAGAAGGTTATTGACTCTCACTGTAATGTCCTCTCACTCAACGCCATCCTCACAGCAGCCTCAGTTGCTGCTCTATGCAACTGTGCTTAAATGTGATCACACAGTCACCCTCGTTGTGTGGTCCTCTCCTTGGGCTTGTGGCATGTGTGAAGTCCATACACTGAGTCGTGCTCCAGGGTGGGGTGGGGACCCAGCAGAAACCTCCAGCACATTAAGCCATTTTATTTTATTTTATTTTTTAACATTTTATTTATTTATTCATGAGAGACACAGAGAGAGGGAGAGAGAGGCAGAGACCCAGGCAGCGGGAGAAGCAGGCTCTATGCAGGGAGCCTGAGGTGGGACTTGATGAAGGCAGGTGCTAAACCACTGAGCCACCAGGGATCCCCAACTTTGAGCCATTTTAAAAGAGTCTTGAGGACAGCCCCGGTGGTGCAGTGGTTTAGCGCCGCCTGCAGCCCAGAATGTGATCCAGGAGACCGGGGAGGGAGTCCCACCTCAGGCTCCCTGCATGGAGCCTGCTTCTCCCTCTGCCTGTGTCTATGCATCTCTCTCTCTCTGTGTCTCTCATGAGTAAATAAATAAAATCTTAAAAAAAAAAAAAATGGAGTCTTGAGTTCTGCATCTCCACAGCAGCCAGAAAACTTGCTTAGAAAGAGACTGGAGATGCTAATAAGCAAACCAAATGCTTCAAAGCAGTTATCATCAGTCCTCGCCAGCCTGCTTTTCCTGCTTCTATAGAGAGAGGCCAGTCACCACCTTTCTATTTCAGTCACACTATGGTTCTGTGGGAATTGTCATTTTCCTTTACTGCGGTTTCCAAGGCCCTAAAATAACCTTCTCATTAGCTTCACTCAAGTTCATTGTTAACATAAATAGGCCAAAATAGGCAGCCTTGTACAGAGCACTCTAAGTGAACATTATCAGCACTGCTCATCTATTTGTGTCCTAAACAAATATTCAAGAGAGCATGAAAAAAATCCTTGGTTTTTCGTATCAGGAAATATACTGTAGATAATTTTTAACTTCCTGGAAACGAATTAAGATGACTGATAACTTTTAATTCTGTTTAGGCTTGACGTTCTCTGTCACATCCAGGTGGCCACTAGCAGAAGCTTGAGTAATGTGGAAAATATGTCTGTGCAGCTGCTGGCAAAGAAGCAAAATTATACTTCCTCAGAAACAGTGTGACAGAGTTCCTACAAAGGAATGTGATGTTGGCTGATTTGTAAGCAGAATTGCCACTGGTATGCACCCTCAAATCCAACCCCAACACTCCCTGGCCATATCCCTTTCTGGAACTGCATGGCTGGAGCTCATAAAAATAGAATGGTTCCATTGTGGGTCAGGTGCTCTTCTTTCCTGTCTACTCTCCAGGACACATTCATGCTTAGGATAAGGAAGGAGAATAAGCTCTAATGAATAGCAACAATGTTAGAGGATAAAGTAAGTCATCAATGGTGGCAGAGGATAAGAAAGACAGAAGCGCTCTCTTCAGTGCCTAAGAGCTGTCTTATTAGTTTAGTGTCCATAGCTACCTTTGCTTCAAGCCTTAGCTACAACTGTAGACAAAGTCATTAGAATAACAGTTAACTGCCAGTGAGATTAATGATTTTTTTTAAAAAATATGTTATTTATTTATTTGAGAGATACAGAGATAACAACAGAGATAGAGAAAGAACATGAGCGGAAAGGAGAGGGAGAAGCAGGCTCCCAGCGGAGCAGGAAGCCTGACATGGGGCTTGATCCCAGGACTCTGAGATCACAACACAGACACTTAACCAACTGAGCCACCCTGAGATTAGCAATTTTCACTCTGCTTAGTTTGCACAGAGGAATTCAAACATCTTTCCCTAGGGAGTTTCAGAACATAGGATCAATCTGCAAACAAAATCTCAAGGGTTGGCAAACTTTTCTGTTAAGGGCCAGATAGTAAGTAGTCTTTGTGGTCTGCGTATGATCACTGTTAATCACTACTCAACTGTGTAGATAGAGCTCAAGAGCAGCAATAGACAATATATAAACAAACTGAGTATGTCTATGTTCCCATGAAACTTTATTTATAAAAACAGACAGTAGGTTGGATTTGGCTCCTAGCCCTTACCCTATCCCTAACCCTCACCAACACCTGCTCTATCTAATAGGTACACTGATATTGCTACAAGAATGATTGAGAAATCATGAGGATCAGAACCAAGCTCTTCTGGTAAAACTAACCTAGGGTATTAGAAGTCAGAATAGTAGTTGCTCTTTGTGGGGTCAGAGAGGTTGGGGGGAAGTACTGTTATTGGGACAGAAAATGAGGAAGTTTCTGGGTTAATGGTAATATTCTGTTTCTTGATGTTGATGTTGGGAAAACTCATGGAGTTTTGTGACAATTCATTTAGGAGTTGTGAAAATTTCTGTGTGTGTTTGGTACTTCAATAAACTTTTTCTTTTTTTAAAAGAAAAAAGAACCAACTTGTTTTGAGGGAGAAATCATTAAAAACAAAACAAAACAAAAAACCAATGTAGAACAGCTTATCTCAAGAGTTTATGTGTTGGTCAAAGTGTATATGGGTTCCTAGCCATACAGTCAGAAGGACACAGACCAAATTTCTTTTAGTTTGCTTAAAAAAAAAAAGTCGTAAAAAACACATAATATAAAATTTTGCATCTTAACCATTTTTTAGCATACAATCCAGTAGTGCTAAGTACATTCACTTTGTTGTGAAACAGATGTTCAGAACTTTTTCAATTTGCAAATCTGAAATTCTCTGTTAAACAACAACTCTGGGTTTCCTCCTCCTCCCAGCCTCTGGTAACCACCATTCTACTTTCTGTTTCTATGAATCTGACTACTTTAGATACCTCGTATAAGTGGAATCATATAGTTTTTGCCTTTTTTTGTGACTGGCTTATTTCCTTTAGCATAATATTCTCAAGGTTCATCCATGTTGTAGAATGTGACAGGATTTTCTTTCTTTTTAAGGCTGAGTGATACTCCACTGTGTGTATATACTACCTTTTGTTTATCCATTTATCTGTTGATGCACATCTGGGTTGCTTCTGCCTTTTGCCTAATGTGACTAGTGTTGCTATGAAAATGGGTGTGTGAATCTTTAAGACCCTATTTTCTTATTTAATTTATTTATTTATGAGAGACACAGAAAGAGAGAGGCAGAGACACAGGCAGAGGGAGAAGCAGGCTCCTTGCAGGGAGCCTGATGTGGGACTCAATCCCCAGACCTGGGATCATGTCCAGATGCTCAACTGCTGAGCCACCCAGGCATCCGCAATACCCTGTTTTAAGTTCTTTTGGCTATATATCTAGAGGTGGAATTGCTAGATCGTATGGTCGTTGCATTTAAATTTTCTGAGGAACTTTCATACTGTTTTCCATAGAGGTTGTACCATTTTACAACTTTACCAATTCCACAGTGCCTAAGTGTTCATTTCTCCACATCCTCACCAATGCTTATTATTTTCTGTTTTTGTGATAGTAGCATTAGCTACTATTTTTTAGAAGCCAGCTTTGAAGGTTGACAAAGTCTTACCTCAATTAAACCCTGAATAACAAAAGGGTTCCAAGAAAAGTACCTTGAATCCTTATGAAACTTGATGTTTATCCTAAAAGGCCACAACATTTTGATATTACTTTACCATTTTTGCTCAAAGTATCTGAATTTGTTAAACATTCCTGGCCAGCACAATGCACAATAGCATACTAAAAGATGCATAGTAAGAGGGAAATTTTAAAATTTCCTTGTAGTAACTCCCAGAAAAATAATACTATGATTACCAAAAAAGCCAATAAAGAGTCAATACATAATTTATTTCACTAACTTTGGTTCCACTATACTAGAATAGTGGAATTCTCCCAAATGGAACAAGTGGATTGGCATAGGTAGATGCTAATTACTCTCCAAAGCAATGACACAATTAGGGGGACAACATGTGAACTGAATCAGTGGAAGTCTCCAGAACTATCAGAAGCTCCAACATGTAGTTACCTACCTTGTTCTTCCAGAAGGACTCGAACGGCTGAGTTTTCCTCTACTTTTTTTCTGGCTGCTGCTTCTTCTTCATCGGACCATTGCATGTGATCCCTATCAAAAAATGAAAAGGTTGTAAAACCTGCTTCATAATTAAGGCAGAACAAGGGTGACGAGGGATACATCTTTCATTCTAAAATAATCAAAGGCAAATGATACAAACTAATTCCATGCTGAATGAATATATTTTGTGTCAGATGTTTCTTCTGATAGTGCTGGTACAACCCTGGAACTCCTACAGTTCTTCTATTAAAATCTGGCTGTGCTATAAGTTCCAATAACCTTTTGCAAATGGATGCTGAAGTAATGTCCCAGGAACACTATAGTGCATGATTATTTGGATGGTAGTATGGTTTATTCTATTTTACTCTAAGGCTAAATTTATTTGCCTTTTTGTTCATTTATGAATATGGAATTTTTAAATAGTTTTTAATCTCCTTTTACAATACTTATATTCTAATACTTTGCTGTCAAATAGATATGTTTTAAAATATTTCATACTGGGCAGCTCTGGTGGCTTAGCGGTTTAGCACCACCTTCAGCCCGGGGCATGATCCTGGAGAACCAGAATTGAGTCCCACATCAGGCTCCCTGCACAGAGCCTGCTTCTCCCTCTGCCTGTGTCTCTGCCTCTGTCTCTCTCTCTCTCTGTGTGTCTCTAATAAATAAATATAATCTTTAAAAATAAATAAATACAAAAATAAATAAAATATTTCATACCCTCAGTCCTTTAAGTAACTTTGGATTTTCCTATTAATTGCCTTAATTTCTGTAAATGGGTTCTTTTTTAAAATATATTTTATAGAAAAAAATAAAAAATAAATATATTTGATTTAAATTCATTTTCCAACATACAGTATAACAACACCCAGTGCTCATCTCATCATGTAATGGATTCTTAACATTTAAATGATAGAATAGTTGATATAGTATTTAAGAAGGTCAACTTTTCAAGATCTGACACCTTCTGTAAGTATTTTCAGTTTCAGAATTTATATTTCCTCTGTGAGAAGATATTATTTTCTGCTGCTAAAATGTCTTCACAGAATAGAAGCAACATCTTTATACAAATTAGATGGGGCTTTGAAGGTTTGCTTTTACAAAATTTGTATTTCCTTTTTTGCAATAGGTCAGACTATAAATGAATGATGTAATTTCCTGGAATAGACCAATTTTCTTTCTCTTTTTTCTTTTTAAAAATATTTTATCGATTTATTCATGAGAGACACACACATACACACACAGAGGCAGAGACACAGGCAGAGGGAGAACCAGGCTCCATGCAGGGAGCCTGATGTGGAACTCGATCCTGGGACTCCAGGATCATGTCCTAGACTGAAGGCAGGAGCTAAACTGCTGAGCCACCTAGGCATCCCTAGACCAATTTTCTAAACAACAAAGCCACAATTCCAAAACTCAAGTTCCATGTAGCCTATTGATAACTGTAAGAAAAATTTCTAACATCATTCTTAACAGCTATCTCCCTGATGAAAAAAGGATGAAATATCAAATTCTTGACATGCACCATAATGGTGGCTGGTAAACATTAACTGAGCATTTAGTATGATCATAATTATCATAATGATAATTACTATTATTTGTGTGTTACTAGGCTTTGTGCCAATCATATTACATACATATATGTCTTATTTAGTCCTTTCAAAAACCCTATGAGGGGGTTAAAGTCATGCTCCACTTATGTAAGAGGAAACGGAAATTTAGTAACTTACTTAAGGTCGCATAGCCATTAAATGACAGAATCAGAATTCAAACTCAGGCTGGGAATATGGACAGCATATACAGGAAACTACAAAATATTCATTTTGGTTATTGTTTTTTTTTTTTTGGGTAACTGCAGATGAAGTTGACAAGTGGGTAATAGTCAGATTTCAAATGACCTTAGGTGTGAACAGTTTAGTAATATGTAAGATAAAATGAAGTGGTGGAAGGACTGGTGTAAGAGAGACTAATGAGAAATCTGTTGCAGTGGTCTAGGAGTAATGAGTCCCAGGACTAAAATGGTGGTGACAGCAAACAGAAAGGCTGAGCAGAAGGGAAGACACTGTGACAAAAACTGTAGCTGTGACTTAGAGGTTAACTAGCTGCTGGGAGATGAAGAATAGATTAAAAAACGATTCTAAGGTTTTAAAACTGAGTATCAAGGAAAGTGGAGGTGGGGGTGGATAACCAAGACAGAATAAGGAGTTGCTTTGGGTGGAATGATGATAAGCTTGGTACTATTTTGAGTCATGTTTATGTAATCAGATATGAGAGGGTATGTTCCAGTGACCTGACTATAAATATACCACCGAAAGGTGAGAAACTGCCTTCCTTTAAGAAAGATCAAAATTGGTATACTGAAATTCTCAGGAAAAGTCAATGATAATGTTTAAAAAAAAAAAAAAGGCAGAGTTCCAAACTCTAACTACCATTATTTAAAATAGAACTGAATCATTCATAGCCCAAATAACCATTAGGCAGTTTTGTCCACTTGCTTTAATGAATGAAATTAGAATAGATTTCTAGGAGCACCTGGTGGCTTAGCTGGTTCAGTGACTGCCTTCAGTTTAGGTCATGATCTTAGTTAAGGTCCTGAAATTGAGCCTCCCAGTTGGACTTTCTGCTCAGTGAGGAGTCTGCCTCTCCTTTGGCACCCCCCTCCCTATGGCTCATGTTCTCTCTCTCTTAAATAAATAAAATATATATATATATATATTTTAAATTGTATTTATTAATTTGACAGAGAATGAGCACAAGCAGGGGGAGTGGCAGGTTGAGGGAGAGGGAGAAGTAGGCTTCTCACTGAGCAGGGAGCCCAATGTGGGACTCAATCCTAGGATCCCAGGATCATGACCTGAGCAGAAGACAGATGCTTAACCAATTGAGCTGCTTAGGCACCCTCAAATAAACAAAAATCTTTTAAAAAGCCCAGATTTTTGTTTTGACTTATTTTAATATATGTGAGCAATCTCATAACTTGGAGCTGGCAATTATATTTTATACTCTATATATGTAAATACATATAGAGTATTATTAAATGATAGTTATAATATTAAAGGCAACAAGTAATTTATTGAAAAATAGGATTACTAAGGCTGGGTACAAGTTTCTCATCTATAAATTTCTATAGCATATAAGAAAGAAAATAGAACAATCCATTTCTCTGTAAAAAAAAAATCAAGCTCTGAGACAATAAGAGTATATATGGTCTTTAGCTTTGAGCATTTATTTTAAACTATTAATTTAACTTGCTTCTTCCTGAGTATTTAATAGATTTAGTTATTTCTTAAATTGCTCTAACTTCCCTACACTGTTCTTTATGTTGCTTCATTTTCTTAACTACTAAGTGAAGGGCAATATTATACCCTAAGCCCCTGCAGAACAGATTTTCCACTGTATAGTTATGGAATCCCCACAGATATCTATAAAACATTCCTACTGTATTTATTATTTATGGGGACTTCCTTCAGACTTGCTTTACGGCATTTTTTTATATTAAAAGAGTCTGAATCACATATACAAAACAACAGACAGCAATAAGAATCATTTGGGTTTTTTTTTTCATTTGGGTTTATAAGTAATAAATACCATTTCAATAGAATTTAAGTATAGAGACAAATAACTAACAAACTGAAGTAATCAGGTATTTAACAACCACTACCATTACCACCGAAGGAAAAAAATGGTTCATACAGTTTGACCTATGAGCTGTGCTTCTGGGAATTGATTGTAATGAAGTAACTCAAAAGAATAGAGAAGTTCTGTATAGAGAAGTACCTGTAAAATTGTGTTTGCCAGAAGACCAAATATAATAGCAAAAAAATGGAAACAATCTCAGTGATAAGGTAATGAAAAAATTATGGTAACTTAAAGGAGTATTATGCAGATATTTAAAATGATAAATATGACGTTTATGTGGCAACATGGAAAATGTGTATAAAACAACATGAGGTTAAAACAGCAGATCCTAAAATTATATATGTATCCTAACTAAATTATATACGTAACCACAACTAAATAAAATTATAGAGACATTGGGTGAAACAAAAGTATGTTAGATTAGTGGAACTAAGAGATAATGGTCTTAAAATTTCCTTAATGTTGTAAAGCTGCTTCAAACAGAGGTAATTCTTTTTAGGGGTAAGGAGAGAGGGGCAGAGGGAGAGAGAATTTTTTTTTTTAAGATTTTATTTATTTATTCATGAGAGACACACAGACAGAGGCAGAGACACACACAGGCAGAGGGAGAAACAGGCCCCATGCAGGGAGCCTGATGTGGGACTTGAACCCAGGACTCCAGGATCACACCCTGGGCCAGAAGCAGGCGCTAAACCGCTGAGCCACCCAGGGATCCCAGGGAGAGAGAATCTTAAGCAGACTCTGTGCTCAGCATGGAGCCTGATGTGGGTATTGATGTCACAACTCTGAGATGATGACTTGAGCCAAAATCAAGTTGGTCACGTAACTGAGCCACCCAGGCATCCCTCAACTAGAGGTAACTAAAAAAAAAAAAAAATATATATATATATATATATATATTCTTACAAAAAAACTATACTATATGTTTAAGACATATATATATAACAATGGTCATTAAGACCTTATATCATCCTTCTTAAGGGAAAATCCAGCAATTCTTACAATAAAAAAGAAGATACATTTTCTTAAAAAAGAAAATTGGGCAAAAAGTACAAAATATACTTTAATATTTTTCCTGAAAACTTCAATTTGAGAAAAAAGAAATCTCAAAAATAAAAGATAGGATTTTGAGTAAGAAGTTTTTACAACATGGCTGGTAGAATTTGTCTTATAATCTTGTAGTAGTCGTAAGTCTTAGGACCAGAGTTTGTGAATGTGCATATGTGTTTTCTATTCCTTCTATATGTAAAGTATAACTGAATGAGGATTCATTGCTAAGTTGATTGTAGCAACAGTCTAAATAATTGTACATTTGATTTGGTTTGGAACAGTTAAAACACACACATACACACAGACTCCAATTGTTTAGCTTGGGTACTAACATTTTTAAGGATCTTACCTACTGAAAATTCTGC